TAAATATATATATATGTACATATATGTACATATATCATTCAAAAGTTTGGGGTCACATTGAAATGTCCTTATTTTTGAAGGAAAAGCACTACTTTTCAATGAAGATAACTTTAAACTAGTCCTAACTTTAAAGAAATACACTGTATACATTGTTAATGTGGTAAATGACTATTCTAGCTGCAAATGTCTGATTTTTGGTGCAATATCTACATAGGTGTACAGGGGTTGACGTTAAGGATTTTTACCTTCGGGCAGTTTTTACTTGCCCAGTATAATGTTTGATCAATATAGTTCCTAATATTCATTTTTGTATATATATCAATGAAACATGTCTGTTTTTTAAATGTTTTTTGTAATTCAGTATTTTTTAAGTTTAAAGGTTCCTGGTGTGTATATGCATGCCTCAGATAATGAACTCAAGCCTACATTCCTGTGTTAACATGCTTTTCAATCCTTCCTGCACATTCTTTTCAAACTAAACTTTGCTTTAAACTGTTGTGTGCTTGCAAAATTTTGTCGTTTTGGTAACTACATCAAAATTACCGCTAGGTGGACAAAAATCATGCCATCTGGCGGAAAATCTCGCGGCTTTTTCAAATCACTCGAGAATGTATTAAAAACAACAAAAATGGCGCCGGCTAGGTCGTTTTCAGCTAATGTCGGTGATTTTAAAGTAATTTTGAGTGATAAATAATTTTTTTTGCGATCACTGCACTTGCCCAGCGGGCAAATGCAATTAAATTTGTACTCTCCCGACAATAAAAAGTACTTGCCCCAGGCGATCGAGCAATGGTTAACATCGAGCCCTGGGTGTATAGAGGCCCATTTCCAGCAACTATCACTCCAGTGTTCTAATGGTACAATGTGTTTGCTCATTGTCTCAGAAGGCTAATTGATGATTAGAAAACCCTTGTGCAATCATGTTCACACATCTGAAAACAGTTTAGCTCGTTACAGAAGCTACAAAACTGACCTTCCTTTGAGCAGATTGAGTTTCTGGAGCATCGCATTTGTGGGGTCTATTAAACACTCAAAATGGCCAGAAGGAAAGAAGTTTCATCTGAAACTCGAATGTCTATTCTTGTTCTTAGAAATGAAGGCTATTCCATGCAAGAAATTGCTAAGAAATTGAAGATTTCCTACAATGGTGTGTACTACTCCCTTTAGAGGACAGCACAAACAGGCTACTGCGGTAGTGTATATACAGTACACGTGTGTGTGTGTATATATATACACACGTCTTCCCCCCCATTTTTCCTCCAAGCCCAGGTCCTCTACCAGAGGCGTAGGAGCTTGAGGGTTCTGCGCTGTATCTTTGCTGTACCTCGAACTGCACTCTTCTGGATCGAGATGTCTGATGTATTTCCAGAGATCTGCTGTAACCATTCCTCAAGTTTGGGGGTCACTGATGCCTTGACCTTCCAGGTTTTCTCCAGCTCTTCTCTGAGCCCCTGGTATTTCTCTAGTTTCTCATGTTCTTTTTTCCTGATGTTGCAGTCACTTGGTATTGCTATGT